CCCGAGAATATACCAGAGGGACTCAAAGCCAGCACACTGCAGAGACCCTGCACGGCATGGTTATGGCTGCACTGTTCACAATGGCAGAGTTAAGAAATCAGCCTAGATGTTCACAGAAAATGACTAGATGAAAATGCAGTCTGTGTGCATAAGGAGTTTTATTAAGCCATGGAGAAGAATGAAGTTATGCCACTTGTAGGAAGACACCAGGATAGAATTGGAGGTCATCATGTTAAGCAAAATAAGCCAGACTCTGAAACACAAGAATCTCATGTTGTCTCTTTGTATGTGGATTCTATATATGTATACATATCCACACATGTGTAAGTGTGTATAACATATCTTTCTACTTTCATATATGTAGACATGTATGTGTACGTATGTACTATGAAAGTGAACCATGGTCATCTGGGAAAATGAAGGGACTGGTGAGAGGTAGAAGACAGATAAAGAAAGGGTACAAGGGGGAAATATGGCCAACACACAGACATATTTGAATCAATATATCTTTTACCACTATGTAAATGAAAACATGCCAACAAAAATGTTTGAAAAACATGACAGAAGATGGGCTAAAACCTTACTAGAGTACAACTTCTGAATGAAGAACAGAATGTGCCTTCCTATTGGGTCCTGTTATTAAAGTGTTTTACCCTTAACCTCACTAACACTTCAAATGGTTTACTCTATGCTAGATAAAATTTTAGTCCTTAGGATATATTATGTGACCAAATCTTCACACAACACCATAAGGCTGGTTTTGCATGACTTCATTTTATGAGTGAAGAACCTGAGGACTGTAGAGGCTAGACAACTTGCTCAAGATTCTTAAGAAACACACATCTCAAGGCATGAGCGGGAGGGCTAATCCTGCTACAGCTCTAAATCCAGCTCTCAGTCAGGCTCTCTATTGCTATGACAAACACCATGACCAAAAGCAACTTGGGGAGGATTTATTTGACCTATGCTTCAACATCACTGTTCATCATGGAAGGAAGTCAGACCAAGAACTCAAACAGGCAGGAACCTGGAGTCAGGAGCTGATGCAGAGGCCATAGAGGGGTCTGCTCATTGGCTGACTCCTCATGGCTTGCTCAGTCTGCTTTCTTATAGAACCCAGGACCACCTGCCCAGGGATGGCCCCACCCACAAAGTTTAAGAAACTCTCTTACAGGCTTGTCCACAACCTAATCTATGGAGGCATTTTCTTAATTGAGGTTCCCTTCTCTGTGATGACTGTAGCCTGTGTCAAGTTGGCACAGAACACCAACTGCATTTAAAAGTCAACCATTTGAAGATTGCCTTTGCCCACGCTAGGATAAAGACTACCTGGGCTGATGGAAAACAGAACAAGAGTATTTTCGGAGCAGGTTTTCTCACTAGACTCTCAAGTTTCTGAAGCTTGGTTTTGCTCATATACAGATTTAGCCTCAAAACTCAAGAAACTGGGTGATGGAAGCAAAGCAAGGGATGTCTCAGGACTTCAGGCCTCATGAGAAGAGATGCTACGTAGAAAGTATCTGCCCTGTAAAACTGCATAGGCTCATCCACCTTTGCTGCAGACCAATTCTGGCATGCTCTAAAGTGACAGATGGGGGTAAGGGGTGAGGTACTGGGTGGCGGGATCATTGCTAATGGAATTTTCCATTTTGTATTTGCTCAGTAGCTGCCTTCCTCTTCATATATATATATATATATATATATATATATATATATATATATATTATTTTCACATTTTTTTCTCCTTTATTATTAAAATTATTATTTGAGATTCAGAGTATTTGCTTTAAAGCCATCTTCCTTGATCACTGGATGGGCTGAATGAAAGAGGAAGGTTTTTTGTTTGTTTTTTGAAATGCATCAACAAACAACATTTTAAGGTGTAACAAATCTCAATGAATTGACAATCAGAGAATGTTTATAATGAGCCTGAGACACCTGTAGTTTGCACCTAAGATCAGTTGTCTTCAGGAGATTTGAATGGGAAATAATTTTACATACATTCAGTTATACATTGCCCATAGCTTGTTACAGAAGTCACAAGGTAGGTATTTCTAAACAGCCCATGAACAATTGGACTTAGCTGTTTTATGAATTGTTATATTTGAGCCTATAACTAATCTCTTTGACATTAACATCTATAATACACATTTGAGCAATATCTGCATGTGGAGAGTTGGCTAAAACTAAGACATCATCTCTATTCATTAAGCTTATATTTTCTCAATAACCTAATTTTGTCTTTCATAAGATATTAATGCTTTTGGAAGTCTTACTCTTAATCCCATTAATTCCTAAGATACCCTTTAAAAGTGTGTGAGGCACTATGCAAAGGCTGTCAATGTCACTAAATTATGCATTGAACTGCTAAGGGTAAATCTAAGGATTCCAGGGCTGCTGAAACTCAGAGCTTCATCTGAAAATGTTCTGGAACGAAGCAAAACTCCAGGGACACAGCTGATATTGGCTCCCGTGGCTTTGCAGTCTTCTGATCTCAGATCACTGGCACCACACCAGGTGGTGAATGCTTGGCTGGGCACAACATGTCTCTGTCTTCTTTGCACCACGGGCCTATGCTTCAGAGCAACTGTGAGTCAGCTGCTGTTGGTGCCATGTGTAGTGGATCTTTGATAACCAAGCTGAGAGCTCAGCCTAAGGCAAAGCAGCCCTGAGGTCCAAGGGAAGAACCATGAGTGGCCCAGAGTGAGATACAGAACATTGCTTGATATGCGTAGGCTTGAGAAGATAACTGATGAGTGTTACACTCTAATATTAGTTCTGTGGTTGTGGGAGTAACCAACTACCATTTCTCTGGAGTCAAGGCCCACTCCAAGAAATGAAACCCACATCTGAGCCTGGAAGAGTAGCCAAGAGCCAGAGACCACATAGACCAGGGGCCTAGAGGAAAAACAACCCTAATGTGCTGCTCTGGGAACATAACGATAAAATGACTCCTAATGATATTCCTCTATACTCATACCTAAGTGCCTTGCTCAGCCATCATCAGGGAAGTGTCTTCCTCCAGTAGAAGGGAACTAACACAGAGACCCCCTACTGGACTATATGCAGAGAGAGAGAGAGAGAGAGAGAGAGAGAGAGAGAGAGAGAGAGAGAGAGAGAGAGAGAGAGAGGGGAGAGAGAGAGAGGCTTCGGAGCATTCAGTCCTAACTGGGATGTCTTCATCAGGAAGCTGTACAAAGAGGTGGTGAGAAGACTGTAAACCCAGAGGGGATGCACGTCAGCAAGGAAACCTTGTCTTCCAGACACGCACAAATCCACAGAAACTGTGGCAGCATGCACAGGGCTTGCACAGGTTCAAGCCAGATGGGGTCCCAGGGCTGCAAAGGGGGTGTGGACAAGGCCTCCCACTGCTACCCAAGAAGTTATGTAAAGCTAACACCGCTTACAAAAGAAAAACTAGTTTTCTTCAGTGGTGTCTCAATGGGCACAGTAACCACATTTAAGGGTAGGTCTCATGCCCAGTAACTGTTGGTCAGCACAAACCAAGTCAATGGTATTTGTCTCATTGCTTTGGATGACTTTTATCTTATTGCTCTTTTGCTTATATATTTTGTTTTCGTGTGTGTGTGTGTGTGTGTGTGTGTGTGTGTGTGTGTGTGTGTATTTTTTTTGTTTATCTCTGTTTTTGCTTGCTTTTTTTTTTTTTTAAAGAAAAAGACAGAGAGAGAAAGGGGGCAGAGTTGGGTGTGTGGGGTGGGGAATGCGGAGGATCTGAGAGGAGCCAGGGGAAGGAAAAAGCATGATCAGAACATATTGTGTGAAATTTTTTAACTTTTTTTTTTTTAGAAAAAGAAAAGTGCAAAATCATTAATCATGCGTGTTATCTCCAGAATTTGGCATCAAGCTTTGCTTATCTCCTTATATCCGCTATCATTTTCCATCCAGGGTGTGGTAAGCACCCCTTGAATCAACACGTGTTTCCCAGTGCTGACGTGGAGCCTGGGATTAAATGACACTCTATGAAACTGCAGTGTGTTGCTTTCCCCAAAGTGCCGACTGATATTTAGCCAGATCCCCAGAGTCGGTAATGTAGAGGCCTGCCTACCTTTCTTAAAGCTGACAACACCCTGAGATAGACTGGAGGAACCACCTGTGTCTGGGTGCTATGCAGGTGTAAGCACTATTGAAATTGTTAGGCAACAAGTAAGGATACAATTAGTAAAGAAACAATATCCTGGTTCTAGATTAGGTTGTTCAGACTGTGAGCTGATTCTATAGATAAGGGATTGATTAAAAAATGTACCCCAAGGCTTAGAAATCCACTCCCAGGTAGTTCTAGTTCTACTGAAAAAAATCATGCTCTTTAACAATGACCCCACACTTATTTAATAACATAAGAGAGCAATCCAGTCTTCCTATTTCTCCCACCACACCTGTGTTACTTTGAACACAGAAAGTTGAAGTCAGAAAGTTGCCTCCATTTGGAGAATTGAGTTCCTAGCAGAATTTGCTGATGACTACAGTTGGGGAAGAGGAGAATCCTGAATTTTATATATGGCAGGAGGATGCGACTGTCACAGAAAAATCCCCTGGCAGGTGTCCCCTGGGGCACCATGACAACAGCAGTGTGCATTCTGGGGTGGTGAGACTAGGGGAGCAGTTACAGCTATGACAACAGCCAGTCCTGTTACTCTGTCTACTCTTCACAATGTCACTTCATTGCGGGATCTACAGTGGCTTTAAGTAAGGATTTGCTTCCTGGGACAGCTACAGAACTTGGATTTAACACCGGACTTAGTTTCAGGGAAAGGATTGAGCAGGAAGAGGGGAAAGACAGCCTGTGGCCAATGCATGTTTCTTCACAAGGAAGTAAAACGTGGAATGGTTCTCCTTTCCCGCTGAACACACGTGAACTAGGTAGTAAGTCTCAGAGCAGCGGGGAAATGCCAGTGGATGCCCCATCTGGGCCTTGTCTGGCATCTCTGGGGTCCATGCAGCTTGTTTACTATGCTGCCAGCCAGCAGCTAGCCCAGGCTCACCTCATACTCCTCCTTGAAGCCATAGCCCTCAGCACATTTCATCTGAGTTATGTGTTGGAGGAGATCTGCCACGCGGATGGCCGGGTGAAGCTGCCCAGTCTGGTAAGGCACGTCGGTAGCCTCTCGCTTCTTGTATGTGTGGGACTGCACCAGGCTGCTGGTGTCACTGGCCATTGTGTGGGTCTCGTCTAGAAAGGAGATGAAGGAGAAGAGGTGGGTAAACCAGCAGGCTGAGTCAGGAGCACGGGATGCTAACAAGTTGGCTGCTGACATCCTCACCCTAGGATGGCTCAGCCAGGAATCAAACGGCACAGGTTCGTAGGTTTAAATGGGATCGGCAATACTGCTAGGAATGAGGTGGGAATCTTTGCTCTTACAAAGCAGTCCAAACGAGATATTGCTTCTGCAAAGCTCATTGGCAGGAGCCTTTTGGCATTTCAGTGGTAAAATTGGTAAAAGTTTCGATCTGAAACTTCATCAAGACCTGGTGCAAAACCAGGCTTGCACAAGTCCGAATGTCAGCTAGTTAATTTGTGTAATGAAGTGAAATAAACTCTACAAATGTTCTGTGAGCAAAAGAAAAGTGCACAGAATGGTTCGGCATATAAAGCTAGCAATGCGAATGGGTACTCGGCACAGGAAATCAAAGGCGAGAGAAAAACTCAGAGGGAACCTGGTTTGGGAATGATGTTTTGATGAGTCACTTTGCATGCTCTGGGATCAGAAAGCTTAACGAAATACCGTGGGCCAGTGCCTCACACATAGACTGCTCTACACAGCAAACATGCAGGCCAGCACAGGGCGGCACACTGGCTCTGTCAAGTCTAGGGGTAAGACACCCCTCCCCCACCCCCACACTCCCTCCGAAGCTTCTTCAAGGGGCAAGTTGGGGAACTTACCATTGATTGGCACTTTAAAGCGGATACGTATCAGGAGAAAAGAGGAGAAAAGGAAACAGGACATAAGCAATGGCACTGTGTACATAACTGTAGGCACTTTCACTGTGTGCTTTTAGTCTTCCAGTTAAATTATCTGTTGAGAGGTGGGCAAAGCCTCCATCATAGGATGGAGTTGTTTTACTTAAGCACTTGGTAACAAAAAGGGAGGTTAAAATTAGTATATAATTGCTTTTCCTCCCCCCAGGAACCAAGAAATAGCTAAATAAAGGCTATTTGTGTTCAACTCATTCGTCATTTAAATTTCTTGAACAAAGCCCATCAAATTGTACTAGAAAATTAATGTCAAAATTTGGCCAAACAAGCCTAAGAGTCTCTATTTTAATGGGTGATGACTAGTAAATTAGATTAATAAACTGCAGAAACGTTATCTATTAAAAATGTTTGAGGCACACATGTTCAATTAAGGCTACTCAATTAGGAATTTCATCTTCTGTGGGTTAAATCCTTAAAATGCTGAATCCCTTGAGTTGTTTCATGAACTATGAAGGCTTTTATGGAATCACAATGCTAAAAATCACTTAAAAGGAGATATACAAGTCAATATAATGTATAAATAATAAAGATACACCAGCAAGGATGGGAATGTTGGGGGATTCCCAATTATGTATTAAACAGGGATTTCAGCTATAGTTGTGAATGGTGCTGTTGTTCTACCTAAAGGCTGAGTCTTAGGAACTATGTGAGCTGGGACTGTCCTGCAGCCTTGCTCTGTCTGCATTGCAAAGCCCCTGGGGACGCATGGCATGAAGGTGGTGACACAGGTGTGGAGCTATGTTGCTGTGGCTGAAATGGCACCCTGGTCACTACAAGGCGGCTAAAGACACAGAAAAACAAAATAACAAAAGGGTGATAAGCTGATTTTATGATTTGTTTTTGTTTTTCATTTGGATTTGCTTTGAAATTTAGCAACGGCTATGTTCCCATTTTAGTTGTCACCAATGCCCCCTGGAAATTTGCATCTCAGATCTGCTGTTGGCAACTGCCAAGAGTTATCAGCTGGGAGGTGAGATCCCTGCTGAGGCACTAAATCCACTGGGCTCTTAGTTCTCTGGGAGAAAGCTTTGTTCTCTATAAATACTAAAAGAAATGGAACATTAATTAGTTTCCCCTCTGTGCCTCTCTTGTTCTCTTCATTTTTTTTTTTTTTTTTTTTTTTTACAATTTGTGCGGTGAATATAATTAATTTACCTCTGGTTGTGGCTGAATGAGACACCACCTACAGGACCCAGGCTTTTCATGTGGATATACCAGCACCCTAGTGATGCTCTGGTCTCTGGCCTGGGTATTTTTTAGTGTTTTAAGGCCACAGAGCCACGGCCGCTGCCCAATGTTACATATATTTCTCCATTGCACGATGACACCTTGGCCTCGTCTCTAGAATGGAACACCTTTCAGGCACTTACACACCACTATATCTGGCCAGAGAGCGCTGTTGTCCAGCACAGGAGTGTTCAAGGGGAGTTGGAAGCCCCTGCACCGTATCTTGTAGGAAACTGGGTCACCTCTCCTACTCGACACTCCTCACTCTCCTAAAATGAGCGATCCATTGTTTTTGACTGCTGGAAATGATTTAGTAGTGTCATCTAATGTCTTAGATGAAGGAATCAGAAAGGAAGGTTTCTTAATATAAGTTTTGGTGGTTTCTGAGAATTAAAAGTTAATTCTATATTCATTAATGAATTAGTTGAAAAAATACTGACTTGGAATGGATGCTGCATTATTGAGATGGAGGAGGATCAATCATTTGTTATCTACCAGCTGTCTGTCTGTATGTCTGTATCCATCCATCCATCCATCCATCCATCCATCCCCCTTTCATCTTTGTAAGCAAATGAGGTAAGGATATACTTAAATTCTCCCCGTGAACTGGATCTTTGTGAGTGAAAATGAAACACTATGGCACCATGTAACATGAATAGTATAAAACCCAGTGACTTGTATCAGGGCTCAAGCTGAAGGTCAGAAAATGAGTCTCCAGCTAGACTGAGGGGAGGCCGCAGTCTAGGATTCTGAGCCCTGGTGGAGAGCAGTGCAGTTTGGGGGTGCAGTCAGCTGGGTTTTCTATGAGGTGTGCTATAGCACTAGAACTTCATTCTTGCTGAACTGGGTTTCCTAACGGGATAGCCCTTCTTGCCTTGATGTAAACTGTAACTGCTCCCATCCCTGCAAAGGGCTAGGGTAGACACCTAGCCCATCTTCCTGTGGCTTCGATGGCTTTAAGGGATAACCTCACTGACGCTATTCCAGTGAGGAATAGACAGGTGCACAGTGCACCAGACCATGGGGCTCTACCCTGGTTTCCGAGTACCGCCAATTGTCCCTCTGGTTTCTACTACATGGATCACACCAGAAAATAGTGATCTGTGCATTTGGCAGACTTATTTTTTTTCACACCATTTTGGAACTTGAATTGACTGTTCCAGTTATGTTCTCCCAGAAAAGAAGCCTAAGCAACTTCAAAGGATGTCATTAATGTCCCTAATAATAAGGCAGTGGCTTTGGAGAAATGATATTTGTTTAAAAGGCTTATCTCAACCCTGCTGTGAAATCTGGATGCCTTGTTTTTCCCTTTGACAGTGCATGTCTCAGCCCCTCCAACCCACAGCTCCTCCAGGATCAGAGCATCTGCAGAGGAACCTTGGATGTGAATGCCACAGAACACAAAGACGCCACTGCCTTCTTTGCCTACCCCAGTGACTTCACAAATGCCTCCGCATGGAGATCAGAATGCCAGTGTGGATGCCATCAGCCTGTGTCCCTTGGCTGTGTCCCTTTATACTTGCTAAAAGACTCTATTCAGTGGGGGCTGTATTGGGCCTCAGAATAACAGCTCAAATACTCCGTTCCATACTTAATCTTAGTTCATTTTTGTTACTTAGGCAACCAACTTGCTTAGGCCTAAAGGACTCTGGGATGCAAATGAAAATTACCCTCTCCTTGGAAATCTGACAACTTGGAGAACTGAGAAGCACAGTGGGGAGTCCGGGTTGGGGGTATTGAGGCCTCATGACTGGAGTCAGGCAGAGGAATTTGAAGGCGAGGATAAAGCTCTGGCCCTTTCGGGCAGCTCTATACCTGGAGGTCGCCTTTGGTGCACTCCTTTCAGCACAGTTAGTGGTAGAAAGAGAACACGGCCAGGACACACTCGGGTTACTTAAGCGTCTCAAATGCCACAGCAGCCCATGCTTTTTTGCTTATCACAGGCAGGTAATGTCATTTCTCCTCGCCCTTCTTAAACTGTACAAGCGGGACTTTAATTTTCCCCCCCTGTAACCCCCTGCTGGGGATATTTCATACTTTAAATGCATTCTGCCCCATTGGGCTAACATTTTAGTTCATTTCTTGTGACATCTGACACATAATAAACCACACGATGATAAAGCGCCCTCCTGTCATTCTGCTGCTTGGGACATCAGTTCCGTTAAGATTCCACCGGGTGACAGACATGCTGCTGGGGGGTGCCCTGGGCGGATGGGTAGGAGGTCTAGACCCCACTGTGATCACTGCACTGCATGACATGGGGGGCGTCATTAGGAAAACGCTATTTTTGAAACTGGCAATTTTTGTGCTTAGAGAGATAAGTGAAAATAACGAGGAGCTATTTTCACTTTTATGACTGTCATATTGGACAGCATTCATCCCTTGGAAGTACACAGCTGAGTGATGACGTGTCATTTGTCTTCTCCTGGGATCAGAACTAGCATTAAATTCGGAAACACAGGAGGGGAGAGCCCTGGAGCTGAGATTGCTCACTGAAACCTTTTGCTATCACCATACCGCCCCCCCCCCCATGCAGCAAAACCTTCCAACCAGTGGAGGCTTCAGAGAAAGACCCAGCACCCCACCCCATGCCCCTACCCCATGCCACCCCCATGCCTACTTCTAATCATGGTATCATGCACAGTTCCAAACTCCAGTCTCCTCAAGAGTGATGCTGACTTTCTCAGTCACTTCTGAAATAAACTTTTGGGTAAGGGAATTATTCTCACCTAAAATTGCAGTTGGCACAAATGGGTCTGTCATACATCGTAAGCAGGGCAATGCAGAGAAAGTAAAAAGAGAAAGAGCAGTAAATGGTTGATGAACAGTCCCCAGTCTCCCCAGGAAAGCCATAGGAAGCCTTGGTTTTATGGCATAGCAAGCGAAAGGTTCAAGGGCTGCCAAAGGCGCTGAGGATGCAAGATGGTGGAGAATCTGTTACCTGGGTAATAGGAATTCGGCACTGATGTGCTCAGCGTGTTTGTTTTCATCGTAAAGGATGATGGTGAAGACACAGCTGCGAAGAAAGAAAGGCTGGTCAGAGGCCACTGATAGGTTGAGTTCAGAATGCAGGACACTTTGGAATCATGGGAACCACTCCATGTGGAGGTGACCGATCATAAGGACAAGTGTCTGGGATTAAGTACACATGACACACACCACTGTTCTCAGTGGTCTTTGGGTAGCTACTCATCCTTTCTAGAGGACAAACTAGATCAGATCAAGACTTTTCTCATCCTATAATGGAAAACGTCTACAAGCAGCCACCCTATGGGATAGGGAAATCCAAGAGGTTCCTCCGACTTCTGGCCTTGGTCTTTTGATTGTGTGACTGAACTGAAGCTTACAACTAAAACCGTGGAACAAGTCAATACATGGCTCCAGAAGAACAGTAGGAATAGCAGTGTTGGGTGTTTTGCTAAAAAATCACACCCCTTATCCTTTGAAAATTTGGGTTGCTGCAACCTGGCATATAAAAACAAAGTTGATTTGTGCTATATTGGAAATGAAACTATTTTCCCCATGATTCTCTTTAAGTCTTTAAATTAAAAAATGCTTTTTCTATTTCTTTGTGTTATTTTTCCGAAGCACACATGGCCACCACACCAGCCCTTTGTGTCCATTGCTAAGAGGGAAACCCCTCTAACTGATTCCATGGAAGGTGGGGTTTGCCATTTTAAGGCAGTACACTAACTCTGCTCTACATGTTAGTTGGTGCGTAATATAAAAACACTTACTTCATCAAAACACAGTGACTGATGTGTGCTCAAGGTAGTTCAACATAATGGCCCCTGCCAACACTTCTCCATACTGAAGTGACTTGTTTGATGCCGAGATCCCCCTGACACACACACAATTGCATCATCCCACCAATGGGCAGTGCCTCGGACCCTGGAGATTCCTCAGGTTGTGATTATTTTGATGATGTGTTAATGCATTTTAGTTGTTAGAAGCAACTCTCACTGTAAAGGGAAGTGCTTTACTAGTGTTCATATCTTCAAATGGCAAATATGCCAACAACAGAGGGAAGGGATCCAGGCCTCCTGTCATTTATTTGATTGTTTCTCCTGAGAAGGGTCGCTTTTATGCATGGTTTTGGCAAATTGCCAGGAAAACAGCAACTGATGAAAACAAGAACTAAAGAAATCCTGCCCTTATAAACTGCTCAAGGTGGCTTTCTCACCTGCAGCCATTTTTATGTGTTTGGTAAAAGTGTGCAGGGTAAATACAGAGTAATTATGTTTATTTCCATCTTTGTGTTAAAATATGTTTGTCTTTAACTACTCAAATGGAGCCCTTTCCTATCTCCCATGTTCTATGTCCCTTTTTATGGTATATTAAAGTGGAAGGCACAGCTCATATTTGTAGTGGTAGACAGATGATTCTCCACACTCAGAAATGAATTCTGGTTTGCTGTTAAATCTTTCAGTCTTATTTTCTTTCTATCTCATTTTAAAAAAAGGGACTCACCCTACAGCTTTTAGAACTTTCTGAGTATGATTTTGCAGATTTCTGTATCTGAATGTCGAGTGTGTGTGTGTGTGTGTGTGTGTGTGTGTGTGTGTGTGTGTGTGTGTGCTATAGCTGAGATGTCTGTGTAAGTCTTTCTGGGATTGCTTCCCTAGTGGCTTTTATTGAAAGGGAAATTGTTTTATTAGTATTAGGAAAATGTTTACCATTGGGATCCCTGTCAGTGAAACTGTAAGAGACCTCTCATGGCAAACCAAATGGGAGGGAATAATTTCTTTTGCTGGGTTTATTTTACTTTATTTTATTTTTTACTTTTTGGTTATTTGAGACAGGGTTTCTCTGTGGCTTTTGAGGTTGTCCTGGAACTCACTCTGTAGACCAGGCTGGCCTTGAACTCACAGAGATCCACCTGCCTCTGCCTCCCGAGTGCTGGGATTAAAAGTGTGTGCCACCACTACCTGGTCTTTGCTGGGTTTATTAAGAGGATACTCAAAGAATTCCAGACAGTGGGTCAGCCAGGAAGGCTTCAGTGGTAAACTTATGCTCATCTGCGCGCCTGCAGATGCAGACCTGAACTAGCTGTCCAGTTAGACTTCCTGTCTAGAAGTGATGTCCCCCTGGGGTTCAAACTTGAAACATCCCATAACTATTAATTTTTGTTCCTGTTCTTGAAGTGAGTCATTTTAAGAAAATGTATTCCCGAGGAAACTGACTGTGCAATAAAACTTTGGAAGCTGATGGGTGATCCCGGCAAGTGGAGAATGTATCTGAGTCCCCCTTCTTTCCTCCATCTTAGTTTTTGGTCTTCGGGGGCTTCACACATGTTGCAGGTGTGCTAGGCAAGTGTCCTTCTCCGAGATGTGCCCTGTGAGGCCTCTTCTAAATTGATTCTCACAGAGCAGACACAACTATACAAATTCCAACTCTGTACCAGCTCAAAGGTTTGTGGTCCTCCCCCCCCCCAGATCTAATTCACAACAAACAAAGTCAGGGCACTTTAATTTGGAGCTATGTACACTATGTAATTTTTTTCCGTGAAAAACAAACAAACAAACAAACAAACAAACAAAAACCCAACAGCCAGTAACTTCTGCTTCAAAAAAAAGCAGTGACAATCTTACCAAAAATGTGAAAGAGTTTGCTGTGATGACACACCAGTTTCTGCACCCTCCACTGAGTGTCATGGAAGGATGGTGGCCAAGAACCCAACTGAACAGTGCTGCCCTCCCAGTGTGTTGGAGTAGTGCCTGCTGCAAGCAAGTCTGGCAGGCTGGGTATGCACAGGTAGGCATTGGTTGAGCTCAGTTAGCCCTTCTGATTCGAAGCTCATGAGATACATTGAAGCACATTTTAATTTATTAGTTGCCACTAATTGCCCCGTAATAAAGGCAGAACCTGTCAGCTGAACAAACAAACAATTAACTGGTTACTGCCATTTAACGACTGGTTTCATGGCAGACTTCTCTGGTGCCATTCCACACCTGGCACTGCTTACAAATGGGATCTAAAGAGCAAAAGGGGTGAGGGGTGTAGGTGCCTCTTCAGCCAGAGGAAACCTTAGAGTTAACACTCTCAAAGAACTGAAAGACTTTTCACAGTGGATCTCCGGGCTCACTGTCCTAGGTAGTAGCATCTTTAGAAAAATCACCTTCACTAAGCAACTTGAGGCCTAGAGACAGGAAAGAGCCGTTCTGTGTAAGAGTGCTCTAAGAGGATTTGGGGTTTTCATCACACAGAACTACTAGAGCCCTGTCTAGCCCAACAGGCACAGTGAAAGCCATGTGGCGAGGACACTTACATCTCCCGTTCAGGTTGTGTGTGTCCATGAACGAAAAGGCTTCGTCACAGTTCGTGCCTTGCTCAGCATAGCTCTTGTCCATAGAATTCACCATCACAGTCATCTCCTGCCGGGTACTGCTCATCGTCTCCTTCCTCTTCTTGGCCAGTTTCCTTGGGACATAGAGTTCAGTGATGTCAATGAACATGTGGACGGGAGACAGAGGCGTGACACAAGTACTGACTCATGTTCAGAAATAACCACTACCAAATCAATCATTCACTCTTACATTGATTTATATGCCTTATGTATGTGACGTGCCCTGCCAGGCTGCACACATAACAACAGCAGAAGCAGCAGGAGCAACAACAACAACAGAGACATTGCTTTTCCTACAATGAGCTAACCCTAAATAACCAATGACTCTTAGGTGAAGGTTATCATCTGTTGGCTGATAAGCTCCTACAGTTACTAACTTCTTACTAAATAATTGTCAGAGACAAAGTGTCAAAGAGTAAATTCTAACTAAAATCTGCCAGGCAAAACTGGACTACAAGTTCCCATTTTGTGACAGGGTTACACCCCGGTGAATTGCAATTATTCTACTTTGAAATGATGTTAAGTATAGCCAACCTAACTCCTAGCAGGGTTAAGGTCTCCTCTGTAGGAGGAAATGCAAAAAGTCCCTCAACAGGGATCCAGGCTTCTGTATCCTCCTCACCAACCACAAGATAGCCATTATTTGAAGTGACAGCTACCTGTATGAAAGCCCATGGAAAACGAGCAGATAAAACACACTGCTGCAGATTTTATCATCAGAGATTCTGTACCCACGACAGACAAAAGTAGAATTCAGAACATTTAAGGAACATTGATGTAGTGAAGAGGTGTCAGAGGACCACAGCACTTCAATCCAAGCCTCTGGGGAAGTCTCCCTCAGAAATGGCTCATAAACAAGAGCAGAACAATGGCAGGATCAGCAGGCATGCTAACATGGAAGGGGGGAGTTTTCTGGGGTTCCATCCATACACAAGGAACTACAGGCAGCAAGTGAGTGCTGTGAGGAGAATCGGCCTCTCCCAGGGATGAACTTCTTGTCCAATGCAGTATAGTCAGCCTTGAAACCAGTTATACACAATAAAATGAACACAGCAGGTTGCATACACGCACATATAAATGACGATCATAAAGAAAAAGAAGCTGGCAGTTTGAGAGTGGGAAGACGTGAGTGGCTTGTGGAAGGAAGGGGAGAGTCAAAGTCATCTAACTGTTTAATGTTTCTAAAAACAGACCAAACATTTTTTAAATGAAAGGAAAAAGAAGAGAAAATATTAAAATTCTGCCTAAGCACCTACTATCATTTAAAAAAGAAAAATGGCGGCTATTTCCAGTAAATCATCCTGACACTGATCGACCTGGGACACGGCAGAGCTGAAATGAGCCACAGTCATACCCACACCCATGTCAGGTGGTTGCTAAAGCAGCGCAGGGTGCTGGGACAGGAGGCCATATGGATAATCTTTATTGTCATCTCTAAATGATGCTCAATCCAAATGCTTTCTTGCCTGTAGTTACAATTGGAAGGAAGAACAGCCCCAAGATTAACTTGCCCTTTTAATTGCTAAAAGTTGGAACAAAAGACATTTATTTGAGGCAGATGAGTGAAAATCACGTACAATGTCTCTGGGAGGGAGAAATGATGTGCATGGTGAGAGGCCGGCCACTCTGACCTCTCTGGGCACCGGCACCCCCCCCCCCCTCTTTCTATGTGCAGACACGACTGTCTTTTGCAAGCCCCTTCCTGGCTGGCTGCAGTATGTGGGCGACAGTGTCTAGACCTGCCTGTTGTTATCAGATGCACTGGACAGAGGCCACTGTAACTCCATCTTATTGCTGCTGTCTCAACACCACCAGCTCCTTGCAAACATTCTTAGGCCAAGTCTCCCCTGGAACGCTGATGTGGAGGACTGAGAATCTACATTCCACAATTCAGTTCAGCCTAAAAGGACAGGTGTGGCTAACTCTTCCAGACTCCCCTTTACCTTTGTTTGTTTGAATTCCTCTAAAGAGATTACCAAACAGCAGCTCACGGGTGCCTCTTGCATTGTTGCTGGCAGCCTGGGAGGTGGTGGCAGATGGGGAATATGCAGCCCCAACCAAGGCTAGGCTTGTGCTAGAAACGACCTTCTTCTCCTTTTCTAAGGCCTTGTATGTGTGGATTAATTTCACAGTACCACACTGAACATGTCATTACTGATCTTTACATACAAAGGAACCCCTTTTCAGGATTCACAGGTGCTGCTCAAACAGAATGGAACTCGAATCAGAAACCTACAGTTTGATGCTCACAACTGGGGGCCAAGCGCATTAAGCCCGTGAACGTTTTTCAAAACTCAGTTAGCTTTCAGTGTCCTCAGCCAGCCTCCCTTCATGGATTCTGTTCTTCATCCGTGTTTCCAGTGCCGACACAAACATCTTCAGACAGGAAGGTAGCGTAAGTGAAAGAAGCCAGGGTCAGAAACTAAGGGTAGTGAGTGCTGGAGACAAATAGGGGAAGCAGACTGGGCTCTGTCAATGGATGCCCGTGGTCCCCAAAGCCAGATTTCATGTCAACTCAGGGTGTATGTGTTGGCAAATGTCTTAGTTAGGGTCTCTATTGCTGTGAGACCAGGACCAAAAAGCAAGCTGGGAGGAAAGGGTTTATTTGGCTGACACTTACACATCACTGTTCATCTTTGAAGGAAGTCAGGAGAGGAGCTCAAACAGGGCAGGAACCTGAAGACAGGAACTGATGCAGAGGCCATGGAGAAGTACTCGTCACTAGCTTGCTCATCATGGCTTGCCCAGCCAGCTTTCTTATAGAACACAGGACCACCAGTCCAGGGATGGAACCATCCACAAAGGGCTGGGCCCTCCCCCGTCAATCACTAAGAAAAAGCTCTACAGCAGTGGTCCCCAACCTTCCTGATGCTGTGACCCTTTAATACAGTTCTCATGTTGTGGTGACCCCCAACCCTAAAATTACTTCATTGCTACTTCGTAACTGTAATGTTGTTACTGTGATGAATTGTAATTTAAATATCTGATATTCAGAATATCTGCTATGCGACCCCTGTTTTCTCAACTGAGATTCTCTGCTTTCAGGTAACTCTAGCTTGTGTCAAGTTGATATAAAATGAGCCACCACAGGACATAATTAAAAATGTAAAATTAAGCAGTGTTTGCCCAAATAAAGCACATTGGTCACTACTGGTGCCCTCCAGGAGTAATAACAGCACTTAGAGGCTTAGCTGTGTCAGAAGAGAGAGGAGTAGGAACTAACGCCTTCCACACAGCCAGGGCATGTCGGCACCCAGCACATCTTACCTCCTTTGATCCTGGGAACCATGGGAGACCTATTTCTAACTCTTACTTTGCCGATGAGAGAACTGGGTTTCAGGAAAGCTACTTACTCATTCAAATGGTAGAACTGAGCCAGGGCCTAGAGCTCTCTGACTCTAAACAGTTCCCCTTGCCTTGTACATTATTACCAAATGACTTTCAGGCATGAATACTCTATCACCCCAAATGTCAACACTGTGTACCGAAAAGTCAGAAAGAGATCCACAGAATGCATTGTACAATGCTAGTGGCATTCAAAATGCTTAGGAATGGATTCCATCACCATCATGGGTAAGAAGTCATCCATTCAAAGCAGTTCCCTTAGTTAGGGGAGATGTGGATTGACACGAGGGTCTTTTATTTGTTCTTATATGTGGCAGACAAGTGTCTATCAATGCTCACAAAAGGTTGAGAAAGTTTAGATTTAGAACTGAAGTTCATTTATGACTGCACAACTTGCTCTCTCTCTCTCTCTCTCTCTCTCTCTCTCTCTCTCTCTGCTATCCATCCCCTCACTCTGTGATGCAGATCTGTGATTTTTTAAGTTGAAAACCATGAGAAAAACTTTCTGAAATTAACATCTTGTATTCAGAGAAACTCTTTAACCGGAAATGGTTTTCTTTATACTCTTATCTAAAAATGAGTAAATTTATTTTTCATCATAATGTTTAGAGAATGGTTTGTCTGAAGCCCTGTAATTGCCAATCTCCAAACCTGTGCTGTATGAATCTCAAAGGTCCTTAGTGATTAAAAGAAGAAGAAAGAAAGGCTCCTATCAATATCTATAAGTAGATGATTTTTAAAAATGAGACAGCGATCTGGAGAGCTTCCTGGCAGCAGGGAGGAGTTAGAAGTCACCATTCTCTCCAAACAACAACCAAAGCAGGACAGAATGCAAACTGACTCCTTTAGATCAATGGGAGGACTGAGAACACAGGGGGAGCACTCCCCCAAGCAGGACGGACATGGCCAAATGTGGAAATCACAACTTAAAGGAGCAAAAGTGCATGTGCAAAAATCCCTGTGAAACTAAATGAACAAATTTAAATAACTGGTATTTAATTAATAAAGAGATATACAGTTATAAACAAACACTGGGGCTGTTGGTGAACAGGGCCTAGGGGCTGAAATGCAATCCCTATGGCATGATGGGATGGGAAGAGAGAAATGAATAGCAGAAATTTTTGAAATGCTAATGCCTAAGCATTTCCTAAAGGTAAGGACAGATACCAAAGTTCATGTTAAAGAAATCCAGGGAACACCAGGAGGGATAAGTTCAAAATGTCTACAGCTGAGCCTATCATAGTCAGATAAGCAGAGAAGAAATTGAAACAGAAATAATCTTAAAAGAAGCAAAAGGCAGGAGGGGGAAGCAAGTATGCTTCCCAACAGGAACAACTGACTTAGGGTGTCTCTCTATATGCTGTGAGTGTGTTTTATTACCATTGGTCAATAAGAAGATGAGGTGGCCAATAGCCAGGCAGAATAGAGCCAGGCAGGAAATCCAGGAGAAAAAGGGTGGGGACACCAGTAGCTGCTCGAGAGGCAAGATATGAGTTAACAAACCATGAGCCTCATGGTAAAATATAGACTAATGAAAGTGGGTTAATTTATTGTAAGAGCTAGTTAATAATAAGCCTGAGCTAATAGGCCCAACAGTTTGTAATTCATGTTAAGCCTCGAGTGGTTATTCAAGAAGTGGTGCATGGTAGAGAGATGTCCAGTTACAAACAATAAAACGAGAGCTACATTGAATTTCTCAGAAACCACTGAAATAATAGTCCAGTGGGGT